TACTACTACGGATTTTTTTTTAATGCAAGTGCCAGATATTTTTTATTTAGATATTGTGGTTCATCCCTGCCGGTGTCTTTTGACATTTAAAAAAAATAAAAATCTTATTACACCGGTGGATAGGACTGCCATCAACACAGTGGAAGAAGAGCATTTTATGTAACGGAGATAGTTCTTAAAATGTCGTTTTCACATACCAAAACCAAATATGTTACATTGTTAGGTTTTTTTTAAAGCTATATTATAAGTTATATTGTTTGTTGCACCTTTTTTCTTTATATGTACAACTGTCTCAAATTAATTTCTTAGATTATAATGACAGTTGGCCAAAACAAAATCTATGAGGAACAAAACCAACCATGTGACTACCTAATACAATTGAGGTGAGGTTTGCACATAAAGGTGATTTTTCTCAATAAAACCTTTCAGATCTATTTGTTTCATTTGTCTGCATTTCATAATGTTTAGCTGTTTTTCACGATAATCCAAACTAGATTTACATGATTTGTGAAGAAAATATGTGATGCTGGTGCTCATTCAGCACACCATTCTGGACCATTTGAGGGATCATGTTTGAAGCAAAAACATGCAGCATGAGTTAGTTTCTCTAAATAAAATTCAGCAATGCAAGACTGTATGGATTTGACCATGCAATGTTCGCATAAATGTATTTACATTTGGCTGTCTGTATTCTAAGGCCTGTTTACGTTATTTATAAGATAAATTATTTAGTATATGGTATTATATACCTACTTTCATCTTCAAAGACACTATTCATTTAAAGATACTCCTCTGCATTAGGTTTAGGCTTATCCCTCAGATGATTAGCATTACATAGTTTACACTTTGTGTGTTTGAAAGGATGGTATTTGATTACACATAATTCATTAGCGGTCATGGGATGCAGTTTTGGTCCAGTGTTTTCCGAGTGTTGGGGTCTGTACAGGATGACTACAATGGGGAGGACAGGAATCTGATACGGAGGTCCGAGTCACTCTCCTCTCCACATGAGTGCATATTGAACCGGATCACTGTGTTCACTTACACAGTCCAACCTTATTGTTTACAATAACACCATGCATCGGATGTAACATTATGGTGATCAATACAAAAAGCATAATGAATATCCAGACGGAATGATGTTAAAGAGCTTGCTTGCCTGTGATCTATCTATCTATCTATATATATATATATATATATATATATATAAAAGGTAGCAAAAAATAAACAAATGATCAGCCCTTGTTTAAATAAAAAGCATGGCTATTACAAACTCTTTCTATGATATAAATAAATCGCATAACATGAAACTCAGTTAACAATATCAACTATAACTGTAGTTAGTCCTTGTCAATGAAAAATAGCCAAACAATTTTAAGTCATTTTGTCCCACGTTTGCAGTTTCGGGTCAAACAACAGTCCAATCAAACTGGACTGTAGGAGAAAGGTCTCGTTAGAGCAGCAGTATATGGGCCCCAGCAGCTAAAGGCCCTCAGTATTCCTCTTCCTTCAGCTGTTGGGGCCCATATAGACCACTGCTGCTCTAATGCGACCTTTCTCCTGCAGTCCAGTTTGATTAGCGCGGGGGCCGGACGAGCACCGAAAGACCTGTTCACAGCCATTACCAAGATTCTTTTATCAATGTCTAGTAATTAAAATGTCACCACTTAATTTTCAGGCCATGGTGAACCTCTTGTAACAATCTTTTCCTAATAAAAACAGTAATCGAAACGTTATTTTCACTAGAAACAAAAAGGTTGCGGCAGGCGATTCGGGGGTGTCAAGGCGACAGAGATCAATATGAGAGAAGCTGATTGATCTCGCGCTAAAGTGAAATTTATTGGGGTCGTGCTTTTATACTGCGCGGATATAACGGTGACTGTAGAACACTGCTTTTCAGCTGATGCGTTTATTAAACCTCTCTTGCTGAATTAGTCTGCCTTTGATTTATGTGCCAATCTTCGCAATGACCTCCAGGACAGCATCTCGTATGTTTCTAAAACACATGGTTTAAATCGGAAGTGTTTCCGTCTTTGTTGTTATCTGAACTTGTTAGTGCGTTCTTTGAATAGAACGAGCTTCTTAAAAAAGGTGTTTTTTTTTTTTTTTACTCTTTATTACAAATTATATTCACTTCAACATGCTGTGGCATGTTTAAATAAAATTGGTGATTTGACTATCAACCCACTCCAATAAATAAAATAAAAAATGAAGATTTGCCTGGTCTCTTGGCCATTGTCTTTAGTTGTTTAAAACGGCAACCATGAGGGCATCAGCTCAAACTGTCCTGTAAGGGTGTCAAGTCAGCTGATGATGGCATAGCCTTCTTAATGGGCATGCCTTAAAAAATAACTAGCGGTTGTGTCTGACTCATTCTGATAATACTGACTACTATAATCAGTTTTTTTTTATCTATTTCTGTTGTCCGAACAATTTGTCACCATACTGACAGATAAAAAATAAAGGGAGATTATATATAGGTCTGTGCGGTATAGTATTAAACTAGATTAAACTCATTTTACTTCATATATTTATTATATATATACTCTCAGCACATTAGCAAAACTTCATGTGCAATAGGTACTACAACTAATTATATTTTAAGAACATGTTTTAATCCTAATGTTAAAAGAACAGTGCACTAGGCTATATGAAGACGTTTTTTCTCAATTCTTTCTTTACTCAGCAACTGGCCTATATAAAGTTTCTTTAATTAGTTTACTCATGCTCGTGTAATATAATAGCTTGTATATTAATGAGCCAATAATGGCATATGTCGTCCTGAAACACAATATTTATCGTATTGATTCAACCGTTATGTAAAAACAATCATTGATTATTTAATAGCATGTCAGAGAGGTTACTAAGCACATCAAGTTTAACACAAAGCAACCTGGCCGGTAGTAAAATTAATAGTGATAAATATATCCAAACATTAAATGGCTAAATACATTTTTTGTTAGAGTGATTTCAATATTTTGAGGTTATAAATGAACCTGCACTGCTTACACATTTTACAAGGGATATTCTTCTCAAAGCTCTGACTAAATGATGGTGGCTTGTTTAAAGACGGTTGTTGTGTAGCTGTACCTGTTCGTGGGAGGATCCTGTCTTGTAGGACATGTGAGCCCTTGTCTCCCCGCCATAAACACTAACAATGCTGCATTGAGTCTGACCTCTAACTAATTAACAAGAAAGGAATAATTACAGAATAAAATTGTAATTATTGTTGGGCCAGAACGAAGCTTCTTGGTTGTGAAAGGAGACACGACCAGGCAGATCTGGTTAAAGTTTCCCTTCCTATTAATGTTGAATTAGGTTAAGCCGGTGGCCCCTTGGTCACAGAGCATACTGAGCATCGCTTGACAGATTTTTAAACTTTCCCATTTGTTTTCAACTCTTGACGATATAAGCTAACTATATGCTTTAGAATTTATTTATTTATTTTTCGCTCAAACATTTTGGAATAGTTTAAAATAAAAACGCATCCGTTTAGTCTACTTGTGTCAGACTAACCCGATCTCATGAAAGTGCGTATAAATAGTACGCCAACTAAAAACGAAAACTCGTGGTAGGCCTATTGATACGCAAAAATGGACTTTGTCGTGTATATCCCACGCGATGGGTAGGATTAGGGTTGTGGGGTAGATGTGTATCATATGTACGCGAAAACTGCGTATCATATGCACGCCAACAAATTTCGTATCATATGCACGCTAAACAAGTGAGTATCATATGCACGCCAAAGTCCCTTTTTGCGTATCAATACCACGAGTTTTCGTTTTTATTTGGCGTACTATTCATACGCATTTTCATGAGACCGGGCTCGTCAGACAGCCAATAATGCAACCTATCCATATGCCTATGTTCACTTAACGCAAAACACAGTTTAGCTCGAAGGCAGTTCTGAGGTAATGGCTCTGCTAAGAAGAACCATCCCTCTAAGGCATTTTTTGGACATTATTAACTAATTGATTCCGGGTAGGCTAATTGTTAACATTTTATATAATTAACTAGGCCTACCGTTTAATCAGGTCTGTCTTTACACAGCTCTGACACCTCCACGAATGACGGAAGGTAATAAAATATAGACGGTGGCTGGAATAATTAAATGGGTTGGAAAAATGTAACAAAAATAAGGTGAATATATCAGTTGTTTAAAACAGACTACAGTGATTTTTTAACCAACGTCTGTCTTTGCAAACCCTCCTTCCTAAGTGGGAGACGCGGGCACTGAAGCGCGTGACTGGTGATACCTGCACTCATCGCCAAAACATTTCTGAGAGAATGACATATTGTCGAATTTCAGAGAGGACAGCACAACTTTGCCCGGTTCAATATTGATATCTTTACGTCAAGACTTAGTGGGGTTAACTGAAGGTCATTGATCAGGTTTTAAATAGTTAATACGGCCATATAAGGTTGCACCACTTACCTCAGTCCATTGCTCTGATATATCACTGTTTGTACACACTAGCCGCTCTCACGGGCTGGTGTGTTTAACAAATGTGCATCATTCACCGGGAGACATGTTACGTAAAATGCGATGACCACGAGCATCTAATAGAAGTTTAGACTGCATGGCCTGCGGACACGTAGCCTAGAGGAAATGTTCAATGCAAATTCATAATGGTATATTGTTTGGTTTCCGACTTGTCACTCAGACATGAACATTATTAAGTTCTAAAATTAATGGGAAACGTATTAGTCCAAAACAATAAGACGCAGGTGTACGTGATATCAGATGGGGGGAAATAACAAATAATCTAAATTTACCGTTGTTAATTTCTTCATCTCTCTATAACCCCTTTATTCATGCGCAATCGCACAAAACCGTTCAAACTGCACTTAGCGCCCTGATTTTGGTGGCATCTTTGTCGTTATTTGATTTGATGATTTCTTATATTTAGAGATCTATCTATCTATCTATCTATCTGTAGAAGAAGCTCAATTATAAATTGGCAGTGATCTTTGTTTTGGAGTAGTGGAAGCAAACGGTTAATACCAGAATCGGATTTGATCTCAGTGGGTGTTGCCTTCTTATTCTTTTTGGCGTCCCCTCTGTTGAAGTAGATCGCGCACAACCTATTAAGAAGAAGCACGAGAATCCGGGACTGCCATGTGGTCACTCGGCTCGCGCTCCCGTCACCACGCACGAGAGTTGAGTGGGATGGAAACTCTAAAGCTGTTTTGAGAGAAGAGACTCTATCCAGCCTCGCAGTTCTCATCACGCAGTAGCCTACAGACGGACGTTTTGTCCTTATTTTAGGCCTGTTAATTTGATGCAAACACACTCGCTCATCTGACTTCGTTTTCTGATAAAAGGTAGGTTTCTTTTTATATTTACAAGTTGATCAAAATAATAATCATGCGTATGTATTTTCTTAAATTAACGCGCTTATTATTGTCAAAATTATTTTAGTCAAAATGTTTAGAAAGGCTAGCCTGAAATGTTTTAAAATACGCTAAACCTTTATTACGAAAGAGAATTTATTGCACCTAACTTGATACAAAACAATATGACAAATCTATAGAATAATTGTACATCGTAAAAATGCATTACAGATACATCCAGCAAACGAATATATGTGTAGGACTGAAATATAACGGCTCCTTGTGCAATGTTTTAATTATAAATGATAAGACTTTTATTAACAGATCAAAGTCGAACAACACAGGCTGTGTAATTACACAGAAAGCGGCTTACTGCTTCTTTTCCTTCTTGCTAAGCTCATTGGAGTAGCTAAAAGATTCTTCCCTTCTGCCCCTTTGCGTATTAGAGCCGTAAGAGGCCTTTAAGTAATCGCTCCGGCTTCTGAGCCGATTTGGAGACATTAAGCAATGATGCAGGCTCTCAGGTCAGAGAGTGCGAGCTTTTAAGGATAATGTTAGAGCCGGCAATATTCTCAACCTAAAAAGCGAGGTGTTCTTTTCAAATATGATTTAGCAGGCCTAAAGCTGTCATTTAAAATGTAAAGTGTTAACTAAAAACACTAACAGTATAGTCTGTAATACAATGCTAAAATAATTATTTAAATTATTGTAAAAACTGTAATTTTTAAATATAATTTCTTATCTTGCAAAAGTAATTATATCGAGGATCAAACAAAATAAAAATGTGACAGACAAAATTGTTGATAGAGCAAATAAGCTACTGCCTTTTTGTTTTTTGTTTTAATTTGGCCTTTTTATTGAGATACTGTTGTAGACATATGTTAAAACTATAATAAATAATAATAAAAGTATAGCCTAATAAAAACAACAACAAAATAATAGTAATTATAATAGAAATGCGTTTATATTAGGATAACGCTCACACAAAGCACACATTAATAATTATATATCATCTCTCAAAAGTTGCATAAAATACAATTCTTGAATTGAAGTGTAATTTTACATTTCTGACTGGTTCTCCACAGACTTCCAGGAATGGAGTCGATACCCAGTCAGCCTTCTACGGGACGAGATGTTTGCTCTTCCCCCAACTCAAAGCGAGAACTGCAGCCTTACTCTAGCAGCAGCTCGCTGAAGCCAAATCAAGTGAGTGAGACTATGCTGTACGGAGTGCCCATCGTCTCTTTGGTCATCGACGGTCAGGAGAGGCTGTGTCTGGCGCAGATTTCCAACACTTTATTGAAGCACTACAGCTACAACGAAATCCACAACAGACGCGTGGCGCTTGGAATTACGTGTGTGCAGTGCACACCGGTGCAGCTGGAGATCCTAAGGCGCGCAGGGGCAATGCCCATCTCCTCACGCCGCTGTGGCATGATCACCAAACGCGAGGCCGAGCGCCTCTGCAAATCCTTCCTCGGGGCTCACAACCCTCCCAAATTACCCGAGAATTTTGCATTCGATGTTTCACACGAGTGCGCCTGGGGCTGCCGAGGAAGCTTCATACCTGCGAGGTACAACAGCTCCAGGGCAAAATGCATCAAGTGCACGTATTGCAATATGTATTTTTCACCCAACAAATTTATATTTCATTCGCACCGCACACCTGAGTCTAAATACACACAGCCGGACGCGGCCAATTTCAATTCATGGAGACGCCATCTAAAACTCACCGACAAAAGCTTGTCTGATGACATTTGTCATGCGTGGGAGGACGTCAAGGCCATGTTTAACGGCGGGAGCCGGAAACGGGCAATGCCAGGGCATGGACCAGAAATGTCTTCCCCGCTTAAACCGCAGGCCTCCGGAAACATCACGCAGACCGCTTCCGCTGATATTCCTCACAAAACTTTGCGCTGCGACGACGACCGTGGTAACCTCAGTTTAACCAACAGCGTGCGTAACTACCCGGTCATCCCTGTGCCTAGTAAGAGTTTCGGCATACTTCAGAAGATCCCACCACCCATCTTCCCGCATCCATATAGTTTCCCAGCATTTGGACTGTGTCAAAAGAAGGATGATGGAGTTGGTGAGCAGAATAAGACCAATGTCCCTGGTGTGTTTTGGCCCGGTGCGAAGGACGGTATCTATCCATCGTTCCCCATGTTTTGGCCTACCGCGGGCAGCCTGCCGCTCTCATCCTATCAACCAGCACAACCAAAATCACACACGGAGCTCCTGGGTGGCCGGCACACCGAGACAGACATGTCAGAAAGTGAGCGGGGAGGAAACACACCTAGAGACAGTCTGTTCGACAGCGAGCGCTGCTCCAGTTCGCAGTCCCTCAGGAACGACGAGGACAAATCTGGGGACGAGGCCAGGTCAAGTGAGGGTCAACCCAGCACCCCCAGAAAGCTGAGCTATATTTCTGCGTTCAGACCTGTAGTTAAAGACGCAGAGAGCATAGCTAAGCTCTACGGGAACAGGGACGCGTACAGCGGAGCTCATCCTGGCCATTTGTCTCCAGACGTTGTGAGCTCCAGCTCCAGCTATAGGTCAACCTCTCCGTGTGTGGACAGCGAGGAAGAACCGGATGTCGACGTGGAGACTCACAGAATTCCGGAGGATGAGGAGTCTATACAACTTTCTGTGGATGATCGACAAAGTCCCGTGAGGGAAAACAGTCAAACGCCGCAGCCGGACGATGACCAGATAGCCACTTTTAGTGACGCGGGCTCCCCTGATCCGAAGCAGAACAAGGAGGTGGCAAAGAAAAATGATGCCATTGCTTACGAAGTGAGTCAAACAAACTGTCATATTCAATGGCACTGAAACCATTCGAATCTGTATGAAAACATTAAATAAATAGCTACATCTTAGCGTAAAATTATTTTGAATCAACAAAATGGCATTCTGAATAAAAGCAGCCATTGTTCAGTCTGATACAGCAGTCTTTAAACTCTAATAGCGAGTAATGACGCATAATTATGAACCTATGGACTCTACATTCATAGTTTTCTATTTGTGAACAATTTGCAATTTATGTTGTTATGGATACAGATCGTTAATATTCTATTTATTAACGTAGAACGATCTAAATAAAAAGAACCCAGCGGCGCGTAATTATAGTAAATTAAATGTTTAGAATGAATGGTCATTTCTGTCGTCGCCCGCGGGCTGTTGGTGCGTTGGTGTAAGGGCTCCCCGGTGGATACTGTGCAAATTATTCTCTTTGTCAGTCCATCTGACCGAATTTACCTTGTAATACGAGCAATTTGGCTTGATGTTGCCAAATATTCGTAGATCATTAGAAGAGTATAAACGCAGTCTGTTGTCTGACGCATGGTTGCGTAAGAAAAGAAGAAAATGATGCATAATTGGGGTTGTATTTATTTATTTTAAACGATTGGTTAATTTTTGCAGGTGTACTCACATGAAAAGGATGGAGCATCTATTCAGAGCACACTGCCCACTAAACCTCCTCGCTGCGCACCGGAAACAAACGGTAAGACAGTTTAACAAACTAACATTTAAATAAGTGCATTCGGGTAAACTTGGACAATTTTTGCTATTGAGATGACTGGGAAAAATGTCCCCCAATTTACAATTCATTAGTATTATACAGCGTATAGCCTACTCTATTATATAATTTTACAACTTTCATTTAGTCGATTCTAGAATAAATTATGTTTAATTATGCGCTCTGAATAAGTGGCCTGCTAATAAGACTAGCTATTCCCCTTTAGATTCACACATTTCAAACAACAGCCCTACTGACGACGAATGTGAATCACAAAAATCCTGTTCGGATCAAATTAGCGATTTCAAAGAGAGCCCAAGTGAGTAGCAATAAAAACATTGTCCTGTTTGTGTGTGTGTTTAAACATTACTATATATTTATACAAAACAAATCATCTTTAAAATCCAGTGTAATAGCCTATATTTTTTCCTTATTTTGTGGCAGGCGACGCTACATTTAGAAGTACTGATAACAGATTTAATTTCGAGAAAGACATCGAGAATATGGCGAAAGGTAAATATTTAGATATTTTATGGACAATTTTAAGCTGTGTTGTTCCATTGTTAGATAAGCTAAGGTGTTAGGGTGTTAAAACAACCGATTATAGGCTACACAAGATAACGTGAAAAATTACCAATAGAGGCAGCTAACTGGCTTTTATGATTGTTTAAAAACAGACAAGGCAATGTCTATTTTTAAGGCAAATAGCTCTTTGTGTGCAATGTTTCTCCATTTTACACGCATTATGCATTTAAAAAAAATGCGTGTGATCGCTACACAATTGTGTATAACTGAGAATTGTCCTTGAACTGCAGACGATCCACATTGCAGGCTCGTTTTCCACACACCCCTCAGGCAACTGTCCTAATTATTTTGCAATGTCATGCTTGAGAACACGGGGACCGTGTGTTTAGCCTTAGTAACCTAAATAACGCTATTAGACAAGAAAACCAAACAGAGAGTGAAAATACATGAAGAAAAAAAATGGGGATACATTTTCTTTAGACGACTGTAGCATACTCAAAGGCTATGGGATTTGTGTGATGATTAAAAGTCACAGTGATATGATAAATGATGTGATTTCTGTCGGTTTCCACAGAGGAGCTCCAAAAGCAGCTCTTGGAGCAAGTGGAGCTAAGAAAAAAAATGGAACGGGAATTTCAAAGTTTGAAAGGTAATTAAGAGATGGATATATTCACTCCATGCTTCAATTTGCTATATAATTTATTCTATTTATAACTTAAGTTAATATAATACGTGTTGACTCTAATAGATAATTTTCAGGATCAAATGAAGAGGGAACTGTCTTATCGAGAGGAGATGGTCCAGCAGCTGCAGATTGTACGAGGTAATACATATTTTGCACTAGTGAAAAGAAATAAGGAGAGTTAAGAAAAAGTAACACTTGCATACTTTCAGATAGACATATAAAAAAAAAAAAAATAATAATAATAATGTGTGTGATCCACCCCAAATGCTTTTTTGATTTTGATTTTGATTTTATTTAGACACATTGTGCAACGAGTTGGATCAGGAGGGAAAGGCTCGTTATGCAATTCAGCAGAAGCTTAAAGGTAGGCCTAATTTAGAAACACACTATCATCCATAAACTTAAAATAAAATTCTAAAAGAATACAAAAGAAATATGCAAGTGCTACTAAAACAAATTAATGTACTTAAAATATATTAAAACATCAAAATTTGCATATGACAAACTGTAAAGTTAGTGATGATTAGAGGGGAGTTTGATCTAATCTTCATGCACTTTCTAATCTTCAAGCATTAGACATACATTGTGGTGTATCGTTCTGTATTTCATGTCATTGTGACATATTTGGAGAAAGTAGCATGATTCAGTAAAAAATTTTGTAGGTTTAGCTGCTAGATTTCCCTTGTGAACTAAATCAAACTTTTCCCTAGAAGCTCACGACGCTCTTCACCATTTCTCCTGCAAAATGCTCACTCCACGCCACTGCACAGGGACCTGCACATTCAAGCCACCCCTCTTACCACCTTAACTTAAAGCTGCATCCCAGGATCCCAGTGACATCTGTAAACCTCCCCTAAAGGATTTCTCCACTTACACTCTGTTTGAGAGGTTCAAGTTGCACACCGAACACTGAGGCCTGAGGACTGCTGAATCACAATCCATCCCAAGTAGGCTATTCACTAGCATTTGAACATTCCACTGCGGATGAAAGTGTCTAGGATTACTTTACGAAAACAGTAAAAGAAGCCAGAGGATGACAATAAACATTCTAATAATTATGCTGTTACTTGTGTAAATAGGTTGATTTTTTAAAACAATACAAATACATAATATGTGGCAATGTGCAATGAACTGTATAATGTGAAATTTCATAAACTGGAATTGTTGATTATTATTCTTATTATTTATGTATTTATGTGTTTTTACATGTATTTGTTTTTCTCTAAATGAATTCACTGTGCTATCCCAAATTAATTGTGTATCGTCAATTTTAAGCACTTTAAATAAGCAACATTTCGGACCTATCTATCCAAAATTAATCAACACAAAAATGATTGAAAATCAGCTGTACTTCATATTAATGTACAACAAACCCAAGTTTGAACAAGCACTTATCCCATATTTCCCAAATAAACAATTGAGAATACCACAAAAGTTGTTATTCCACATGAAAGTGCTCAAACTAAATGTGATAAGACCTCTGGAGTCTCTCACTCTCTCTCTCTCTCTCTCTCTCTCTCTTTTCCAAAAATAATATTATATCTTGTCTCATTCTTCAATAAAAGTTCAATTAAAGCCACAAGTATTGACTCATAAATCCAAAATATGTCCACACAATGTTTCGAACACACTTTTGTTACTAAATCCATAAACTGTATTGACCTTACCTGAAATTCATGCCTGGAAAAACATTTGCGTGATAATAAGGCCCGGGTTACGCTACCATACAGACAAATAAATATATACTAAACAGTAATGTTAAAAAAAATTTTCTCATGAAAATGTAGTTCTCTTTCCCAACATCACAGCTTTTCAAGAAATATAGGTCTAGCCTATATTTCTGCAAACACTGCAAACGTGTTCAGTAGCAAGTTTTTGTTTTTATTTATTTTTGTTTAAACGGCATTATAAACGCACTAACTCAAAAATGAGTCTCGGCGTCTATTGCTGTTGTGAAATACAACACTTCCATCTAGTGGTAAAAACAGACATTGCACATTGCTTATTCAGCGATACAAATGTTCTATAATTGCAGACAGTGTATTTCATTTGATTATACAAAAAAATAAAAAAATACAAATACAAATAGCAAAATACAGTACAAAAATAATTCATAAAATATTTTGTAACCAGGAAACACAACGCCAAAATAAATGTAGGCCTAAAGCATTTCAGGGCAATTTTTAGTATAAGAACACAGTTTGTATTTGTTTTATTTCTGCAAATAGACTATATTAAAAAAATAAATAAATAAATAAAATAAACCCAACATTTGTTTCTTATTGATTTGTTTGAAGTCTGTCTGACTTGTGAACCTGATGCATATTTTCACTATGCACATAATTTAACCATGCACTTGTTGTTATTTAGAATTTTGAATAGGCCTAAGTACTGTATTTTGTGTGGTTTATTACAAAGTTATTTATTACTATATAAGTTTTTTATGTTACACACTTTGTTTGGTTAAAATTATGACATTTTGCGCTTATTTATTTATTATTTTTATATAATATTTTACCTGGGCAAACCAAATTGTGCATGCTCTGGATTTATTTATGCCATACATCTCTGTATGAGATTTTTTTAGGGGGGTCAAAACAATTCTGGAAATTCAGTAACACTAAAAATGATCTTTTCCTCAATGTTTTCAGCCGCAAGATAAGTAAAATGGTCTATGATTTACCTGCATGTCAGCTTATTTAAAATAAAATCCAGGTACTTTGGATACTACAGCCATTTTGTTGGTGTTGGACGGATTTGGATACGAGTGTACTTTAATTTATTCATTTGGATAAAAAAAATAATATTGTAGATGAGTGTCTAACAAAGCTTAGACTTTTAGACTGAATACTTTTAGTTAATTCTGACCAAAAATAACATTATTTTAATATATTTTAAACCCATTGTCATACTAAAATAAATGAATGAACTTTTGGGCGCTTTAAAAATCCTGGGGAAGTTCGCTCAGACGCCCTAAAACAAGCTTAGCCTTCCTATCCATGAATCTCTAGTGACGTCCCAGTTTTTGAAGTAGTAAGCAAATTAACTTTTCCAGAACATACGGGTTCCCACTCAAACACGGAGAGCCACATTTCGGACACTACTGTTTGAAAAACGAGTGAACGCCGGTAAACGGTTACGCCAGCAACGAGTTGCGCGTGCACACCACGTGACCCGATAACGTCACGGCTGCGCTAGCAGTCACAAGATGGCGGAGAGTGCGGAACTAAAGGTAAAACGCTGCGCTCAATTTCCAGTCGGATAGTGTGCAGGGAGATCTGATTGTACCGTTAGAAGTACGCGTACTACTTACTTGCTGTATTAAGAGGCCGTTATAATGCATTTAACCTCTGTTCTCGTAGCTGAAGTTGCACGAGAAATGATTTTGCAGTGGAGGTGTTGTAGAAAGCTTCCAGCGTGTTATTGTTGATGTAGAGGGAGCTGTCTGACCACCGCTCTCCTCAGGGGAATTACTAACTTTAACTCTTTCTCCCTAAAAACTCACGTTAAGAGTGTCTGTTGAAAAGACTCAGGCTGTTTTAAAATACGCTGTTAGTAGACCGCATCATGTGTATATTTTGATGGTTAATATGTGATGTGGATTTGCTAGAAAGCTCCATCGCTTCACGTGCAGGGCTCGAGCGCTGTTGACGTGCTGTCAATCAAGTGAGAGGAAGTGCACGAGCACCGCCACTCTGATTTCAGCACCGAAAGAACAACCGATTATTGCAGATAATCACCAAACTTCGAGCAGATGTCATCACTTAGATACCGACGGAACATTTAAGTTCACCATCCTTATGCTTCAATACCAATGGACAGCCTTCTGTTCATATAAGGATGAAAAAGCTTTTCTTAAAAAATAATAATAATACAATATTGTAAAAATTAGATTGCTGTTAGTTAAACTGTTAGTTCATCCAAAATGTAAAAACTGTGAAAAGGAAGAATGACAGCCTCAGTCACCATTTGAAATAGTTGTCATGCTGGATCTTTTGTGTTTCACAAAAAAGTAAGTCATACAGTTTTGGAGCAACATTAATTTTTGTGTAAACTAAACCTTTAAGTTGAATGTAGTGTGTTAATGACTGTTGCGTGACTGTGATGTTCTGATGTTGCTGAATTTCCGTTAATAGGGTCTGTGAGCTCATAATACGAATGGAAAATACTACATGCTTAGCGGTATTTTTTATTTTTTTTCAAGCTGTGCATGTCTTATAAGGCTTTTTCATTTTTTTGTGTCTATGGAAATTGAAAGCCTTCGTATCATGATAGAGAGTTGACAGCACACTGAAAGAAGTTCATACTTCGTTTTAAATGTCTCTGCTTTTTTGATTTGTGTGAAGCACTCTTATTTATTCCCATTCAATGTTTCATCTTGTTTTTTTGCATTCCATAAAATTAGAAAAAAAAAGATTTAGTTCTCTGTTCCTGTTTTGCGTTTATTACTCATTTCTTACAAATAGACCTATTGTTTGCCGTTGGTCTGTGTCTTTGGCAGGTCCACCAGTGCAGAGATAAAATTCAAAGCCATAATTAGATTTGGCAACTAACCTGATATTTTACACCACCTCTATTCACTCTGCTCGCAGAAATTTAATAAATTTAATAGTTACTTTAAAGGCAGTAATCAGCAACTGTACAAAATGTTACTTTTGCTTGGAATAACAGTCAGATTGGCAGAAGGTGTGGTCAGGGTGGATAAGAGAGGTAGACCTGCCCACATGTTGCTTACTGGACCGATATGCATCTGTTCAAGGGCTCAGGGGCTTGTGATGTGAAGACTCAAGAGTCTCAGACTGTGTTCTTGGTAAACTCAATTGACTCTTTGCATGTCGTCTACTTACGTATTTTCACTGGAATCTCAGTGCTATGCTCAGTGCTAAATTTCTAAATATTGGGACACTTTTTTTGATGGAGGCCCCTGTACTGATGAAAGGCTAGAAACACCCCTGATTAAAACATACAGTTTAGTAATGAGTTCCAGAATCTTCAAATTCCTTAAGCTTAAAGGTGATTAGGCGAATCATCAAGGTTGCTTTGTCCTGTTGTGACACTTTCTCAAGATGAATTTTGTGCTTAATTTTCTCACAATTTCCATACATTGTGCTGCACTGAGACTAAATGTGGAAGCGATTGTGCACAGAGTCCATTAAATTACCTCATGAGTGATATGCTAGGTTGTGGGCAGGAGTATGAATTCAACAAATCACTTTTGTTGTTGTTGTTGTTTTTAAAGAAATGCTAATTAAAACCAAATCTGAACTTTATTAATTCCAGAAGGGAAATTTGATTAATGGATCAGATTACTTATTTATTATACCTCTTATTTATTTATACCTCTTTACATTTTCAGTTGCAGTGATTCCCAGAGGAGCATGGATATTTGTCATTTCATATTCATATATGGTGTTGATTTTTATAATGTTGATTAGCTAAGAGATGGTCTGACCCAAGCTGTTTTTGAAGCATGAGAGATCTATATTGTCCTGTTGCTTACCTGCAGAAAATATCAGTGTAGGTCCACCGTCCAGATGTTTTATTGTAGGGTTTTTGGATGTTGCTGTATGTCAGCACAAAGAAAATCACATTTGATGAGATCTATTGAAACGCACACATGCTTTATACTGATGTGCTCATTCCCTCTCTCAGGCTGTAGCCAGCTATCTCTGGCCACACAAATAGCCTCCATCAACTGAGAGGTGATTAAGGTGGCAATTGTGGTTGTGTGTGTGTGTGTGTGTGTGTGTGTATGTGTTTTATATCTCCCTTCAGCAGATGTTCTCTTACCTGGCGCTAGCTCCTGTACCAATATCCTGGGGGTTTAGCTCACACTGCACGTTCTCTCACACAATGCAGCACATAACCAAATACTGGAATA